GAAGTCTTTGACAAGCGACATACGCCAATTTAATACAGAGCGTATTAAGAGGCCATTGAGCGGAACAAAGGCTCCAAGGTGTTTGCGAGAAGTCTGTCTATTGGGCAAAGCCAACTGACGAAGCTGAAAATTGATGACGGTAGCATCATTTCATCTAAGCCTGAAATCCTGAGGGAGATAGAGAGTTTCTATCGACAGCTATACTCCACGAGCACCTGTTGAAAGCGAGACTGAAGACCCCAGAGCTAAGCTTACCCAACATTATACCGAAGATATCCCGGACGTATCCCTGTATGAGATTAGTGTGGCTCTCAAACAACTCAAGAACAACAAAGCGGCGCGCGATGATGGAATCACTACAGAACTTCTGAGAGCGAGCGGCAAGCCGATACTTAAAGTCCTCCAGAAGCTTTTCAATTCTGTCATCGACGAAGGGCAAGCTCCGAAGGCATGGGCAGAAGCGAGGTCGTCCTGTTCTTCAAAAAGGGTGATAAAGCACTCTTGAAGACCTATCGGCCAATTTCGCTTCCGAGCAATATCTATAAGTGGTTTTCGGGAGTTATCACGAATCATCTCACTCGCAGATTTGACGACTTCCAACCTCCCGAACAAGCCGGTTTCCGAAAGGGTTTTAGTACCATAGACCACATCTATACGCTGCGGCAGTTTATACAGAGACCGAGGGGTATAACGGCCACTTTGCTTAGCGTTTGTGGACTATGAGAAGGCCTTTGATTCGATCGAGACCTGGGCGATGCTGCAGTCTGTCGAAAGGTGCCGAATAGACTATAGGTAAATCGAAGTGTTAAGGTACTTATACAAAAACGCCACTATGTCATCCGATTACAGGATCAGAGCTCTAATCCTATCCAACTGCAACGAGGCGTGAGACAGGCAGATGTGATATCTCTAAAATTGTTCATTGCTGCGTTGGAGGATATTTTCAAGCTTCTGGACTGAAAAGGACTTGGCAACAACATCAACGGCGAGTATCTAACACACCTTCGATTTGCCGATGATATAATTCTTATGGCCGAGACCTTGGGAGACCTGAACACAATGCTCGAAGATCCCAGTAGTGTTTCCCAAAGAGTGGGTTTTAAGATGAACATGGACAAGACGAAGATCATGTCGAATGCCCATGTTGTTCACGCTTCATTTAAAATTTGGAGCTCTACACTCGAAGTTGTTGACCATTACGTATACCTGGGACAGACAGTTCAGTTAAGTAAGTCGAACTTTGAGAAAGAGATCTCTCGTCGAATCCAGCTCGGATGGGTAGCGTTCGGGAAACTACAAAAAATCTTCGCGTCCAAATTACCTCAATGTCTCAAGACGAAAATCTTTGATCAATGTGTGTTGCCAGTGATCACATATGGATCAGAAACGTAGTCCCTCACTATGGACCTCATAAGAAGGCTCAAAGTCACTCAGCGAGCAATGGAGAGAGCGGTGCTCGGTATTTCCCTACGTGATAGAATCAGAAATGAGGAAATCCGTAGGAGAACTAAGGTAACCGACACAGCTCGAAGAATTGCTCAGCTGAAGTGGCAATGGACGGAGCATATAGTTGGGGCGGAAAGGTTCTTCAATGGCGACCGCGCACCGGACGACGCTCAGTGGGTAGGCCCCCCACTAGGTGGACTGACGATCTGGTAAAGGTCGTGGGAAACCGATGGATGCGAGCAGCGCAGGACCGATCGTCGTGGAGATCGTTGGGGGAGGCCTATGCCCAGCAGTGGACGTCGTATGACTGAATGATGATGGTGATAATGGGACTTGTTAACTTATGTCTCAAGGTAAAGGACGCAGTGGCATTGCCACTCAGATTCTATGGATTTTGTTCAGAATACATTTCAGTGACAGTGCCCATGAGCTCCATTAACTTATCCCGCCCGCCCCTTTTTACCATCGGACATCCAAAAGTACGGCGGGATATCATGTTTACTCGATCGATATTCCCTTCAAGCGTACTAAACGCTTTTTGTCTTCCTTTATTACGCGCACAGCCCAGCAGCCAATGGATGCTCTGATTGAAACTGTGTTTCCGAGCACTTACAACTTAAGTATCTTTAAGGTGCGACTAAACCTTCTGAGCGAACTCGTTCCATTGTAGATCCTATCTTTGCCCTAGGACTAGGTAGGTAGTGGTCAAAAGCAAGCCCATTTTCTTTAAAAAGATCTTTGCAATTTAAAGCTCCGAGTTACACTTCTAATTGTAGTATATCAATATACATATATCTATATCAATGACGGTGATAGTACATCAATACTATCACCGTCAGTAAGGGCGCGTTTCCATTATGTCGTAAGGTTTTATTTATCGTTGGACGATTGTCACGTCTAGCCTGTTCCCATATCACGACTATATGTATATCGTGACTGTGTCGTGGACGTTTATTTTATCGTTGAGCCATTGTCGTGTCTAGCTGTTCCCACTAGATCGTGATGACAATTTATTTCAAGTTCACGGCAGTCGTCTTGGCGCTTGCACGACAGAATCGTTTGAATGTATGATTATCTGTCGTCAAATTTTTATCGTCGTAACGTTTTATATATCGAAGGACGACTGTCGTCCTAGCTTTTCCATTGTCACGACAGTTTGTCGTCGTAACGACAAAAAAGTCGTGAACGACAATTAATTTTGTTGTACTATATGTGAACAACTTCATTTAAAATACAAGTCACAACACTTTAAACTGCACGACTATCTGTCATCACGACATAATGGGAACGTGCGCTTACTCTTACTTGTCTATGCTAGGGGTTGGGTGCTGGGAGACCCATATCACAAACTCTGCTTAGTTTGGGCTCCACTCTCCAACAATACATTAAGCATATGTAATAATATGTATCTCTACTGTAATGATCCTTTGTATTTGTATTATGGAGATAAATAAAGAGATTTATTATTATTATTACTGTAACTGCTATGGACAGACGTGTCGCTTACCATCAGGAGCACAATTTGTTCGTACTGTAACTCATATTTTGTTAATCTCTAAAAAAACCGCCATAATGGGCGTATTTACTGCACCATTTTAATGATTATGTCCCTGAAGCAGTATTGCATAACTTAAATAATGCTTCAGGGACATTACAGTGCCAGTGTATCCACTTTTAAGTGGATGTACTGGCACTGTAGTTAGACCGACTTATTTTAAGATTCGCCTTAACTGAAAGGTAAGGTTAAAATGTGTTTCTTGTTGTTATTAGCTTCATCTGCTTACCAGAATTTGACCGAGGGTTTGATTTGTCATAATGTAGTATTGTTATTATTATCGTTAGCTGTATAATATTAATCTTTGAAAAACATTCTAACACAAGGAAAATATTCAAACTCTTTTGTTCCTCAATCCCTTATCTCTTTCCACAACAAATAATGTTTTGCCAAAAAATGTGGGGTTCGCTCAGCGCTCGTGATGTTTTAATCTCTTAATTACGTTGGAGCTGGATACGCGGGAATTTAACCAAAACAACCATGGACACTGAATGGCCACCCTGCCACCCCCTACATATGAATTATTCTGTCGTTGTTTCAGCTTGAACGCTTATTTTCATTTTATATGACTACCTATTACCTACTTTTCATCAGGTTATAGAATTTTTTGTAACGCAATATTTCGGCAGCTCATTTTATTCCCTTTTCGTGTTCCGTTCCAATTTATGTTTTATTTTCATATAAAGTAAAGGGACGAACAACTCGTGCGCCTGATGGTAAGCTACACGCCTGTCTATAACAGTTGCTGTGCCACACAGAGTATAAATCGCAAATATCTGAGGGGCACTGCCACTGCGCCTATTACCTTGAGACATAGGTTTATAAGTCCCATGTGCCTGTGATTTGACCAGCACCCTTACCCTTGCTCACATTATTGCTTGGCGGCAGAAATAGGTAAATTGCCTGAAGAGTACAAGCATTTGTTTGTTTTTTTCCAGTGGGAGTCAAGTATGCGTGCCGTTATGGAAGCCCATAGCCAAAAAGTTGCTCCACCTCATTTCGAGTTTATCGCACCCTGCCGGCGCCGCTGCCCCCGCTCTCGCCTCAGCTATGTATTACGATCCTTGCGTCTCGCGGAGTAACGGGCAGTAAAATTTCAATATCCGCCAAAATATGACATTTCATTTCAGTTCCTTACAGAAATGGTCTCTTAAATGGAATGGACTTATTTCTAATTATTTTGCAAAGTAAAAACATTTAAAGTTATAATTATTAATAGAAAGATCGAACACTTAGTAAAAAATCTTTCGATCCGGCCGGATTCGAACTGACGTCTCCTAGCAAATCGAGCCAGACGCTATGCCAACTAAGCTACGGAACGAACCAGCCGACCTTACGAATTTTTCTATATGCTTGTTGTCGGATCTTTGTATTTGGTTTTCAACGACTTTTTAGCTCTTTTTACACTTTTTCGTCTATGAGAAGTCTATGGAAGTATTAATTATAACAAACTAGAGGAGTAATTTCACAAAAAAAATAATTGAACATCACGGTGGAGAAACATTTTTGGCATTAAATAAAAATTTAATAACATTTAAAGTGTCAAATGGCGCATCCACACATGCCGCCGGGTTTCAGACCGCCTTGCCGCTGAAAGCAGGCCGCCGGCTTTACCGGCGGCCTGCAGATGCGGTTGCAATTTTCGCAGTAGTGTTGTTAAATTATGTTATATATGAATACGACTACACTACCACTCCGTATCGAACACAGAACAATATTACCCTAAAGGGTATCGAAGCCGCAAGCAAACTGCCGCCGGCAACCAAAAGCCGCGCGTGTCGCGGCTGAGATGCGGCAAATGCCGGCGGCACGGCCGCCGGCCATGCCGCCGGGCATGTGTGGATGCGCCAAAACGTTCGTATGTTCTCAAAATAAATCACGTGGCCTGTCTTGTTGGCTACGCTTTTAGACACATACACGCATTTGTGATGTAAATGACATAACAATGGCAAAAAACTGGCGCTATAGCAGGGATTAATTTTCTTGCAAATATGTTCCTCGCAGATATGCAGGGCGTACACAGCGAGCCCTCTCTTGGGGCAAGTACTGGCAAAAAGTAAGTTACATTGAAATAATTTTGACGATTTTGATTTGTGGCGCGGTTGGTATAATTCCATACTAATTACAAATTACAATGTAAAAAATTTTTTGACGTAAATAATCGATCGAGGAGCTTAGTAGTGCCATGGTGGGGTGTTCAATTGACGGTAAATATGTCAACAACATTAGTTATGCCGATGACATGGTGCTGCTGAGCCCCTCGATTAGTGCCCTTAGAAAATTGTTAAAAATGTGTGAGAGATATGCGGAGACTCATGGCCTCAAGTATAACGCAAACAAAAGTGTAATGCTAGTGTTCAAGGCAGGTGCTAAACGCTATCGTTCTGTGCCGCCAGTCACTCTCGGGGGCACTACACTTGAAACAGTGTCGGAATTTAAATACTTGGGGCACTGGGTCACCGAGTCGCTTAAAGGTGATATGGACTTAGAGAGGGAACGTAGGGCGCTGGTTGTTAGAAGTAATATGTTGATCCGTAGATTTGCAAGATGTACAGTAGAAGTGAAAGTCACCTTATTTAAAACCTACTGCCAATCATTTTATGCCTGCAATCTGTGGACGGCATTTACTCAAAAGGCATACAGCGCCCTACGTGTCCAATATAATAATGCATTCAGGATGCTGTTGGGACTGCCGCGCTACTGCAGCGCGTCAGCAATGTTCGCAGAAGCCTCTACGTATAGCTTCCAATCCATTTTAAGAAAGCGACAAGCCTCCCTAATGCAGCGGGTGCGCGCCAGCACCAACAGCCTTCTTACTACAGTAGCAAATAGAGTTGATAGTCCTTTCAATGAACGTCTCAACTTGTTGCATGTAGCGGGCTGTAAAATAAAAGTACTCGTAAATATGTACATAAGTAAATGTCATGTAATAAAGTAAACAATGTAAATTACTAACATAGTTTATAAGTCTGTTACTAATTATGTTTGGATTCGTGTCCGAAATAAATGCTTATTATTATTATTATTAAATAAGGCAACTCCACACTGCCCAATTTGCAATCTTGTGGAGTCCTATTAAGAATGCACATTACCTACTAAGCATGCACTTTATAATGACATTTTTATGAAGATCAATTCTAGTGCATACGATCTAACGATTTTTTGTATCGATTTATTTCAATGCGAGTTTTAAGGGAATCCATTCAATAGAAAGAGAAATCGAATCGTCTAGATTTATAATAAATATTTAGTTGTAAACAGTTTTTGACCTCGATTTGTGGCATTAATGGGTTTTAACCTGTATTAAGCACCGGGATAAACCCTGTCACTGCTAGGGCAGTGTTTTAAAAATTTTGGCAGAAACCGTGGAAAATTATTAATGTTGTTTTGTAATATTTCATTATCGTGACTCTTAACTGTATTGTGGAATCTTGCAGTGGCAGTAAGAAATTACTCGCACGATGAAATTATTGAAAGCAATAAGTTAAACATTTTTTGTAATGTACATAACATTTACGTCGATACTAACACATAATATGCATATTACATTAACTTCTCGTTTCTTATTTTGATGCACCGCAACGCGCTACTCTCGAAGGTGGTATATAACCGAAAATCATGCTTTTGGGCAAATTTCTCACTGAGGCACGACCTATTTGGCTTGCAACATACACAATTAATCATTAGGTTAGTATTTTCTTTTTATGTTTTTTTAGTTTAATTTCATGTTCATTGTTTTTATTTTATATATTTAATTTTGATTTCTATGCACTTCTCCTTTAATCCATTACTTTACTTTACTAAAATACTGTATTATATTGTTGCATGTATAATGCCAGACAATAAACATTTTACCTATCTACCTATCTTTCTATCATTTCTATCCTATAATTAGGATATAACTCTATATAAGAAAAATTACTCAAATATCCATAAAATTAAACTATATTTTCATAGCAACAAGATTAATCAAAATTGGTATATTTTAGGAACACGAGCCAAGGAAGTCACATAACAGCAATGACTAGGGCATTGCAACGCGGCAGTAACTTATGGGAGGGACGTGTGCGCAAAATCACGGAATGTCTGTTAATGTTAGTTTGGAAAAATTGGTGGAATGTAAGTCAAGTCTCAGAAGGCTAAATTTTGTATTTAATTGTCTTTTTTTTTATTACATCAAGTGAAGGGATGAACAAATAGTGCGCCTGATGGTAAGCTACACGCCTGTCCATAACGGTTACAGTGTCACTCAGAGCTTTAAATTGCAAAGATCTGAGGGGCACTACCACTGCGCCCGTTCACCCTGAGACATAAGTTGACAAGTTCCATCTGCCTGTAATTTCACCAGCATCCTTACCCTTCAAAACCGGAACACAGTAATGCTGACATTACTGCTTAGCGGCAGAAATAGGTAAGGTCACACCTCAAATGTTAAATATAAAAAATCACTTTTAGTTTTACTTCAAAGCTCAAAAATCAGTCAACCTGGAAACACGAACCCGTCTCAGATATCCTCGTACATAAGATAGAAATCTTATAGAATTATCTTGTTAAAGCCCTACAAAGATCTTTAATAGTTAATTTTCATGATTTCCTGGATATTCACTAAATGATTATTACTAATTACGGGTTTGAAAACCCCAACAAGACTTTTTATTATTTACCCGATATTTCGTATAGGGTTGACTGGCCAGTGGTAGATGACAGCGTTTCGACATCTACCTGTGAGGTTTGTCGAAAAAAGAGACTACATTGGTAACAAGAAGTCGAGATGAGAATAGTTGTCGAAAGCAAAAGACCCAAAACTGACATCAGCCTTCGTCCAGTCAGCCTATGACTATAGGACGTGTAACTGTTCCTATATATCGTTATAACTAACAAGCAAGGTTGTAGTGAGAAATCCTATCACCCTTTACGTTCCTAGAGTTAGGACAAATTATAGGCAAAATGCATTTTTAAATAGCGTCTCGTTCATTTAACTCCTTAGTTAAAAAATATGGAGAGGGAGACTTGTTCAACACCAGTACAAGTAAACTAAAACGTTTACTCAGTGATATGTTTTTCTCTTATACGTAGCTACTATAACTGTTTAACGTATTCAATTTCGTTATTTATATTTATTATGTTTGTTTTTTTTTAGTCGGTAACTTTATAGTTTGTTTCTACCACTGCAAATAAGGATCTGTGGAAACTTTTAATTAGTCCTCAGCATACATGCACTGGCCTGTCAGGCGTGTATTAGGTATAGTGATTATTCTATTCTAGTTACCTAGCTGCTGTAAGTTTTCCAAAAATAATGAAAATAAACAAATAAAATAAAAATAAAATAATAAGAAGTCATATCCCGCAAGAAACACGTAGCTAGTGATAATCATTATCATCGTGAGCCCATTGAATTCCACTGCTAGGCATAAGCTTATTCCACGGCTTACCATAAAGTTAAGGAGTCACCACACTTATCGACACGGAATCGCATTAAGCCGGTCAGAAAAATCTTTATATCACTTAGTGCGCGCCCACATTGCCAGCCTAGTGCGGATGCGACGATGGGCGCGAAGTATCAAACATATGAAACCGCCATTTACGTCCATAGTGTAGTGACTAAGGCGGGCCCGAGCGAGATAGCGCGCGTATTTTTCAAATGTTCCTCCGCGTTATGGCCGTACTACGAGCCTAGTCAGAAAGCGATCTAATGCGAGGTTAGCGGGGTTATCAAACCAGTTTCGTTTTGTCACTCGCATAGCGCAAAGTTCCGAAAGTTTGTATCTTGTCTGGTGATATTTTATTCAAGATGTAGTCAAATGTTGACACGGGCATTCGAGTATACTCAAAGAATTTTGTAGGTTACAATTTGAATCCTTCATACAAATTTTAAAATTAACCATTCATTTCTCTGTTTTTATTTGTTTCGTGCACACCATCTCTTGCCTTCAACACCTCCCATCTCAGGATCGGACTATCTAGTAAAAATACCAAATCCTCGTCCATGATTGGTAACATACGTCTTAGTAGCGCTACAACAGCTCGCTCGTTACTGCGGCCACCCACCGTCACGCCCGCCACAGGCCCTGGTTACCGCGCATTCACTGTGGACGCACACTGAGATATAAACATTTTTCTTAATTATTACTTAACAAGACCGAAAATGACGTTATGCGTTTCCCGTCGGCGATCCAAGCGGAAACGAAACACGCAACGTCTTTTTCGTTCTTATTGCATGGACTTAAATGTTTTCCTGACCAACTCAAAGAAATTCCGTGTGAATAAATGTGGTGAGTCCCTAACGAAATCAGTTGCTTCCATGCATTGACAGAAGTTCACTAGTGTTAAATTCATTTCTACATTACAATTTTAATCGATATTAATTAAATTTTTTATTTATCAGATATTGGTGCTCGCAACTATTATATTCAAGTATGTCCTTAATTTTCTCGGAATCTTCAGAATGCCCTTCTCATATAAGCAAATCATATACCCATGCCAAATATTTTGTGAAGCCATCTATTTTATCGATGTAGTCATACACATATTACACAACTATTGGTCCATAGTGCGTTTGCACATCCGCATCTTTAGAAGAAGTTTATATACACTTCTGTATGATATAATAAGTCTGCTTCCAATCATTCTAGCATGTCAGTTTATCAGTGAGTATAAACATTTTTATTCCATGATTTGTGGCCCTGTTTTGATATACATATATTTGAAGAGACCGGTATATATCAGTTAAAATCTATTTTTTCAGGTAAATTCTATTATACTGGAATAACGTGCCAAATGTTAACCTTAATTGGGAGATGTTTAGTAGTCGGTCGTATTTACAGAGTCATTATGTATTTCAGAGACCTAAATGGAGAGGTAAAAGTCAATATAAGAAAAGACTACGGATGCTACTTCACTATTCTCATCATTACGTTCTTTATAAAGTAGTCTATAAGTAGGGCTAGCATGCGACTTGCACGAGAGCGACATAAAGCGCGAGATCTCTATGCGAGAACAGCAGTATCTCGCGTTTTATGTCGCTCTCGCGCAAGTCGCAGTGTGTCGTACTTGCTCTACAGTTCTAGTTCCTTATTGTTAGTAGTAGTTACTTTTGTTTCCGTAATTTCAATACATTGTATTTTACTTTAAAAGTAGGCAAAGAAAGACCTTTCTGTGTACGATAGGTATATTAATTGGTAATATTATAGATGCAAAAGTCTCGAAGGCTATTATTTTTACTGGAGCACACCTTATTGGTGATACTAGTGTTACATGCTTCAACGTGTCTGTGGAACGCATTGAACCAACCCGAAAGCCCTGCAAAGCCCTGGTATAATCTCGGATTCCCCACCCGCGTACGTAGAGCAAGACTTACATTTCAAAAGTAAGAACATTTTCTTTATTATAAAATATTGTCAAAAATTGTTTGTAACCCAATATGTAACCCACTATTTGATAAAATTTGAAATGAATATTTTTTCAGTTATTTGGAATGTTGGTATTACTCCGCCGGACGGTTTTTTAATGTCATCTTTGGCGATTCCTTTCCTTGTGTAAGTATCTTATTGACATCGTTATTATCATTGGTCTGAAGAGCGTTAGATTGTGAGGCCTAATTTGTATTGTTGAAATATTTTTAATTTTCTGAATTTTGCACAATTCTCTATTGTACATGTTTACTTCGCTTAAAAAGGTTTTTCGTTTGCTCTGATTTAAAACTGTCTTACGTTCGTCCATAATCACCAAAAAATAAAAATTCATTAAATGTAAAAAATTTTACTTTCAGAATTCATTAGAGAAATGGTTAACATCCTTTCTGATGTTGTTTGGATTTGTACTAATGCGGTATCAGTTTGTGGGCATGATTGCCTGGGATATGATTGTCCATCTCACTCGCTGGTCGCAATTTGTTGATCGGGTGAATAATATGATTTGCATTATCACAACATTATTGCCATCTTTAATTAAAGCACTCATGAGTGTAGACCCCGTATTTATCTTCATTACGCTTTCTAGAATTATTAGTACCGCCGCATTATCTTACTTTTCAGCTCATGTTACTGCTTCTCTTGGATAGTGATACAAGTGGCTGCTTTATACTGCTTACCGAGTTTAACTGGTGCTCTTCTTTTAATTTATGTATTTAATGTTGTATTTACAATTTTATGATCGCCTTCAATATACAATCTGTCCGGGGGTGTAGTAATAAAATTTTAAGGGCATCTGCTATTATCAATTATATTGCCAAAAACATCTCTGGTGTTTTTGGAAACCTGTAAAATTAAAAAATACATTTTTTTTTATTTACTTGTTTCTCATTTGCTCAAAATGTATGTTATTTTAGGTAGTGTATTTTCTTCCCTTTCATTTCACTTAAAAAGTACCCTATGTTCTCACATCATCAGAAAGATTCACGGACGTGAACTCTTCTTGTTGATGTTTAAGAAAAAAAATAGCTTTATTTTGGGGAACGGGTTGAGGAACCGATCCTCATATTTTTTGCAGAAAAAATTACCATAATTAAACGCCCTTAAAATTGTATTATTCTACACCCCTGAACAGATTGCATGTATGTAATATATTCATTCTTAAATCCTTGCTTGTTATTAACACAGTATCATCACATGACAAAATATTTGAAGTCGTGCGGTGCGCCACCGTGTCTCATAGAACAAGCGAAGAATTACAAATTACAGCTTTGGCAAATGAAGAAGGGAGTGTTGACATCGGATCACCTTCAGCAACTACCACATCCATTGCAGATGGAGTTGATATTTGATATAAACGTTGGTCATTTCCACCGATCCATACTTTTGGGAGACACGGGTATGAATATCAAATAATTAGTCTATTAAGATAATGTTAGAAACTTATGTTATATCGAGTTCTTAGGTTTTCGCGATTGTTACACATGGGAAATGAAACTATTTTTCCGGATTTAAATCGCGCATATTTGTTTTTTCAAACAAACTAACGTTTCGGGCCCTGGTCCCATGGTCACGATAGTCAATTTTTTTAAATTTATTTATTTGTGTTCAGTTTACAAAGACACATAAATACAAACCTTATAGACTAACATACGTAATAATACAATAAAATACTCATATAATATATACCTTAAAAAATAACACACATACAATATAATAAAACACTATTTCTAACTAATCTACACAAATTGCACTTGTCGGCGACGTGGGGCGCGATCTGATGTCAGGTAACCGGCCGCGGAATCGCCGATATATGACACCCTTCGGCCAAAACTCTTCCTTCATGAAGGTCGATAGATATTCGGTCGGCACTCTTACCACAAACGAATTTAAATTTACGTTGTGGCGGGACTCCAACCGCTCGACCCTCAGGGTGTATTTGGCTTTATGTCTGATGTACTCCACTATCTCCGTAGACTTCGTGGAGTAATGCAGTCGTGACAGGTATAGCAGCGTCGTCGGTATGGTCGGACGCAGCAGGAAGTTCGGTCCTGTCGGTGCTGTGCTACACTGGTTACGGCTGGTGGCTGCCTTCTCCTCTTCACCACCTTTGTGAAGCCGTCCTCAACACACCGGTCCGACCTGCCTCTGTGGTTGTTTTTGCTCTTAGCCGATTGCCGCCGCTCGAGTTTCGATGTGGCGGGTCGACTGACACACGCGGCTACAGTGGCGTATGCACGTGCACTGGCTGTCATGCACACGCGTGACGTTTCCGCCATGATAGAGGTGCGGGCAGCAGGGTGCGGCGGCAATCAGCAGCAATCGGTGACGCAACCATTTGTGCCGACTCGACACTGCTGATGGATACATTTTGCGCCCCATGTCGCGTGTTTATATTAGAGGCTTCTGGTGACCTACTTACCGTAGCAGCGTTGCTTAATAACGCAACTTGGGCACGCATCTCATTTATGGTGTTATCTGAAGCCTCCAATTTAAACTGCAACTCGGCCATGGAAGTAATATCAGGGAAGGAATATCCTTCAGCAGCCTGGTGACATCGACGTGATCAAACGTGACTGGAGGCAGTTTGTGCAGCTCCTTTGCTACGAATGTAGGCATATCGTCCGGGTCAGTTTCCTTCAGGAGTGTGATAATATCCTGGAGACTCTTCACGCCTCCATCCTTCCGGCGAGATGGCATCTTCTCAGCTTTGCCGAGGCTCTGGAACCGCAGCATCTTGACACTGCAAATCTCATCCTCGTCAAAGTTCGATTTGCAGATCTGCACAATGCTGACTTCGTCCATGTTATCAATGGCGTGTTGGTAAACGCCAAAAGTCAAGAAAAAAAATAGTTACATTTCCTAAATTTATTTTATATTTGTAATAGCCTAAAAAGTACAATTGATGTAGATACGGTAAATACGTTCCACATATAAGTTTTTCTTAAGACGAAATATCAATCATACACTTTAGTTCGTTCAAATTACCTTAAACCTATGACTACTTTTCTGAATTTTGCTAGGAGAACCGTTCATGCGTCAATTAGCGCTAGTGATGCGCCATGAATTGTACTTGGCTGGGCAGCAGATATGGAATCAGGGCGTGGTTAAGAGCGGCCTCATCGTAATCAAGCAAGGCGTCGTTGAGTTGCTCTCGGATGAGGACGATGAGAGTCCTATAATCGCATTTAAGGAAGGAACAGTTGGTACCGTTATTCTTTAACGAGTTTGATTGAAGAGTCCGTATGTACTTATTCTCTATTTATATTTGCATAGGTATTGGGAGAGTTAAGTTTATTCCACTCGATACCAGCAAAAGTTAGCGTGCGAGCAGCCACTTACGTAGAAGTGCAGGTTAGTGAACTTTAACAATCAATAGAATGTTACCAAGTATTAACGTCTTAAAACAAATTTTTAATGCTTTCTGCTTGATGAACCTTATTCACCAATTACCTTAATTATTTCAGGTGTTACGTAGAACAGATTTCATGAGAGTGGTATTAGAAAATCCCTTGGTTCTGCACGACGTTCGCAACAAAATAGAAAAAAGGGTTAAAAACTCACGTGCAAGACAGGTACTCCTCGAGTTTATTTAAATTCGAAACATTTAGATATAGAGAATAACATAATATCTAAATTTTGAGTGTCGAAAACATAACATAATTGCTTTGGTAATCGACAGTCGTCTTTCTTCTTATTTAATAGCGCTCTAACACTGTTCATTGCCCTAACTATATTTTCTGGATACAACGTGACGTTAACTGTATCCCTTATCCAATTTAAATAGCTTACTCTTGGTCTTCCTTTGCCTCTCTTTCCTTCGATTTCTTAGAAGCATCATAGAATCTTCCCTTCCAGGAAATCTGTCTTGACGTATCAGACGGCCAAACATATTTCCCCTTCAGTTCTGTATTGCCTTTAATCAATGATACCCGGTAGAAATAGTAAATAACATACAACCACTAATGATGACAGTTATCTAATCTGTAATGTAATTTTTCAGGAAAGGATTTCAGAATACGACAGTAATGATTCTAGATTGATTCGAACTCGATATCGTCCCATGAAAGTGTTCCAGGACCACTTGGCTGGCGTGAAAGATGAGGATCCCACATTTGTTGATGACTCACACTTGTATTACAGAGGTAACAACAAATAGAATTGTATTGAAACATGAATTATACACATATAATATATATGTTACTTACCAATTTATATATTTATTAATTCTAAGTTTTAAGCACTGTTAGATGATTGTTGCAGCCGTTGTTATATTTTGCAATTTACTTCTAGATAAAAACAACCAGAGGCTACCGAAATTTACTGATGAATATTTAGAGCTGTATAAATTGTGCAATAACGTGACGACTGTCGATTCACCCCGTATTGTTCTCAACTCCAACTTCCCCTGGATTCTCGAGGCTGATACAGATTTAGTAAGTTTTTTAACTGCATATTAACATCCGTGTAAAAATCTAATAAACTTTTATTTATGATTATGAGTGTATCAAAGTACTTGAATGAAAATGTGGCACAAATTAATAAAATTGGATAACTCTAACTTGTAAAAGCCAACGTGTAGTGTTATTATGACTCTGATTCAAAAATAATAACTTAGAATTAAAAATCTTTGATACATGTCCACTGAAAAAAGAGCGACTGAAAATCAGCGTCTGTCTCGCCCGAGATGGAAATTTCGCTGAGTCGTGTCTTTGCTATTTTGCCCCATAAGGTACATACTTTCTCTTCGTCTTAATCGCTTCCTCACTGTTAAGGATAGTAACTCCACCTTATCCTGCCATGAGTTATTTAAGTAAAGGTATTTTTTTTATTTGTTTCCAATAATAAAATTATCGACATTTATTCTTTTTCCAAAACTTTGCAAGTGCTTTTTATAAGTTTGTTAGATAATTAATAAGATGATGGATTTCAGGTTCATGCGTTTGACGTGGTTCACTTCTTCATGGTCCTGTATGTTTGCATTACGTCGCCTCTCCGTGCGATCGGATTTTCGACCTCGGAAACGCAGAAGGTTATTGACATCATCATTATGGCTGGCTTGTTGTTAAACATCTACAGGCAGCTGACCACTTGTATTGTCAAAAAGGTAAATTTTGCCAGTCTCCTGAGCACGATGCCTATAATCAAATAAGCACGGCACTATTATTTTAGCCCATCGCGTTAAAGGTAATTTTTTTTTGTTCTTGTATGGTGAGTATATTTAGGTATTGTTTTTTTTATTTCATTTATAGTTTAAATTTACAATCTTAATACAAGGCAAACTAGACTAAAATTGATAAGAAGGGGTAAAAGACAATACCTATTACTGAAAGCCTATTACTGAATACCTATTAATTAATATAATAATATTAATATGATTATGAATAGAAAAATCGAACACAAAAAAATTGTATTTTATATCATGTTCATAATCATAACAAAACTAGAAGGTAGAGTTATTTCACACAAAATCTCAATAAATACATTTGATCGAATAGTGACATCTGCGTCGGTGGTGACAACATCATGTGCCATGTATGACAAGATTATTCAAAAATCTCTCACTAGATATCACTGGCGGAGACGAAGTACAAAGATCTATAACAAAAACACAGGAGAATTTCGGCGACTTGGTAATTGGACTTGTGGCTCAGATGGTTAGAGCACTGCTACGGTGCAGCATGGACGTGGGTTCAAGTTCCACCGGTTCAACGAAAATTTTTCTCTGTGTTCGATATCTTTGTAGGCATAATCATAACAAAACTAGTGGAGTTATTTCACAAAAAATTAACTTACTAATATTTTCAAAGAGAGATAGTTAGGCAATAAATCTAAAGCAATATAAAAAATGTATTAAAGGTTTATTTTTGTAGAATATGAGGAAGGTAACCGTGAAAGAGATAGCAGAAGAAAAAATGTCTTCGCTTGGGTTTTACATGGACATAATATCTGTTTTCCCCATGTACATTTTCATTGAAACCTTGTTTCCTGACCGTGACTCGATGTGGGTGGAGGCCTCAGAACTGTTTCCCGTACTGCAAATTTGGCACTTATGGGATTATTGTTCCAAATGGCAAAGGAATTTTGATAGTAACACTAAGGTAAATTATAATGAATCTAATTGTTAAGCATGATAATATAACGTTTTGACCAATTAGGCTGCTTTTGCGTTTATACCATTTGTCTGTATCAAGTCATTTATCTATTAACGATTCTCCTCTGTTTTTCCAGCTTCTTATAGTACTTAGATTCGCTATTATGCAATCTATATTCTGTTATTGGTCTGGAGCCTTTTTATACATGTATTCATGTCCTAAAAGACAATGTCATAAAGTAAGCATTATTATTGTGTTAATACTTTGAAGAAGATACTTTAGTGCAACAACTCAAATTATTATTGGTGTGAGAATTATTTTTGTCAACGTTAACATAAAAGGTTCTAAACGTTTACTCTAAATTCCTTCTTGTGCACGGCGCACAATTTTGTAGCATTTGGATTCCTAATATTGATTCTATAATTAGTACTCTCGGTATAATAATGACGCATGTAACAAGTAAAAAGTGTTTTTCAATAGTTCCAAAGAGCTCTACGTCAACTAAATTTTTTGGTCATTTGTTGTTTTTAATGTAAACCGGCTTATTTTATTTACTAACGTTATGCTCCTCGAATTGCGTAAAAAAATTAAGGAACGAAAAACAAAATTCGGAAACAAATTCAAAAATACTAATTTTGTGAAAAATAAAAAAGAAACAAAATTAAAACAGAGATGACCAAAAAATTAAGTTGGCATAGTGCTTATCAACTGCCTCCGTGGCCGATTGGTTACGACGCAGAGGTTTTGGGTTCGATTCCCAGGCCAGGTAAAATATGTATATGGCCTACATTTATTTCTATCGTGAGTTTGGGTGTAATTTGTGGTTATCTATGTGTGTATCCGTCACCCGACACAGGGTTTCCCTGAAATTACACATGAAAGTCTTATGTGTGTCATAACGAGGGTGACGTATTCATTGGAACAAAACCCTCTTTAAACAATAAAGATTTTAAAAATTAAAGTCACTGAAATAATACGAATTATACGAAACAAATTCTGTATATGTGAAATATTGTGACTCTCCTATTTGCGCATAAAAAAGTCAACGACCATATTCATTCGTAGAACCTTTAAATCTTTGTTCTGAAAAGTTGTCATTTTGCAGCTGTGTCCTGTAACACTAAAGGTGCAAATTATTATTTGATGTACGATTATTTTTAATTCTTCGGTATGTAATTTAAAATTATTTCTAGAGCTCGTGGATGGCCCAGTTGATTCTCTTGGAAACAAAGGTTTTTGTGACGAACCATGCTCAACACGAACACCCTATTACAACGTCACTCGGTTTTGGTACAGCGGTATTTACTGGCAGTGGTATTGGTGAATTGGCACCGGGCACTTATGATCTTTGGGTGGTAAATAGATTTCTACTGTTAACATCTGTATCATTATGTCTGTTCTCGACGTATAACGGACCGTCTTAGACATTAAGCGCAAAAATACCACTTGATGTTATGGTCGATATTTTAAAACGCTGTCGGCCAGAGTTTGGCGTGAACGGTTAAGTGCTGCTTTTTTATTTCTAAAAATTTTACTTGTCTTGAGTAAAACCCCAAGTCACTTAAATATCGGCCCCTCGTTTACCATCTTCGGGATGTCTTCGTAAAACTACGCGTCCTTCGTAGATTCCGTCGATCTATCACTCAGCGGGCGATCATCTTACGTTGCGTTGTGATGTGACAAGTATCATACGGGATCTATATCAAACAGGAACTTCCCTGACATCTGGCGGAATTAAATATTAAATTGAAATTAGAAACTCTACCTGTCTGACTAACACTCGAACGCGAGCTCTACAAACTTGCCACCAGTGCGTCACCCCTCAGATGCAATATAGTTGCTGCTGCGCATGGATAACATCATCAATCTACACACTCTGTATCTACGTCTGATCCAGTTAGCCACTAACGCAATCTTTGGAGGCCGATTATCCATGTACATATCTGCCACTTTGGAGATCTAATTACTTAGCGAGCAAAACCATATACTGGACAAAACAGCTCGCGGACACGGTAATCACCATGGGGTGGTACCATTCTGCTTTTATCATACGCACGAGTAAGGTCAAGGCAATCAACAAGAAAGTCTTGATGAATTTCATCAAAATTCGTGACCCACCTACAACTACGACAATACCATCAAGTAATGAGGTTGTGAAATAACAAAACTGCGTTACACAATAGATCTATCAGTAAAGGTAAGAAAGAAGTCAACTAACGAAGTAGACACAATTGGATAAGGGCCGACAAATGTCTATTAAGGATCTTTGTGAACCTTTATGAACCTTCATGAACGGGAAATGACAGGAGGCCCGATCCAGAAAGCAGAGACGTCGTATGCTGTCAGTATGCTACACCGCAAGTACTAACTGTCTGTCGGGGCAGGGTGAGAACCGTAAGATGGGTCTTCTGATGGAACGTGGTGTCTTGTGTTGATTAAGTACCTGTATTAAATACCTGTAGAACCTATGCGTGAAGGACACTTGAACAGAGCTCTTCCACAGCGGACATAGTAGAAAAAGGCGCCTGCAAATCATACAAATTGGATGTAAATTGCATGTACCCGCAGCTTATTTGGATAAGTCCATGTCAGCTGAAAAGTGCCCTGAAAATGCTAGGGTTAAAACATCGCGTACGCCGATGACACGCTGATGACCGTCCGGGGGACCACCTCCTAGGAGGCGGCCCGAAAAGCCTCAGTAGCGGCGGACATGGTGGTCCGCCGAATACAACTGCTGGGGCTCGAGGTCGCCGTGCCGAAGACGGATGTGGCCGTCTTCGGCGGGAGGGGCAGAGGCTGGGCGGTGCCGGCAGGCACCCACATCTCCATTGTGGGAGTATCGGTCCCGGTCATGTCCCAGATGAAATATCTGGGCCTTGTCCTGGACCGGCGATGGAACTTCGGGGAGCATTTCCGGCAACTTGCTCCCCGAATAGTGGGCGCCGCATCGGCTTTGGGTCGGTTCCTGCCCAATCTCGGGAGGCCGGGAGCCCCATTCAGAAGGCTATACGCCGGGGTGACCCGGAGTATGGCCGTATACGGGGCTCCCATTTGGAGTGGGGCCTTATCAGTGACGACGAAATCGCTGCTGACGAGGCCTCAGAGGGTGGCTTGCGCTGCCGCATGCATCCTCGCCGGTACTCCGCCGTGGGACCTTAAAGCCGAGATTCTGGCACAGGGCACACGCCTACCGGCGGGGAATGAGGGACCGAGGCGAGCACCCCGCTCCCCAAGAGGTCGAGCGGGAGCGCCGCCTCGCGGCGCAGCGCATGCGGGACCGGTGGAAAGAGGGCTTGGCGGATCCCCCTTATGGAGCGCGTACCATAGGGGCGATCCGTCCTGTCCTCGTAAAGTGGGTGAGCCGGTCCCACGGGCCACTGTCGTACCACCTTGTGCAGGTGCTGACCGGGATAATAGGGCGGGACCTCTCGCTGCCGGGCGTGGTTGCCGCCATGCTCGGCAGCCCTTGCTGCCTTCCAGGACTCCTTAGTCCTGGGAGGCGGTGGGCTCCTTTTGCGCAGACGTTATGTCGTAAAAGGAGGCTGCGGAGCGGGTGCGCGAGGACGCGGCGGACGCGCACCCGCTTCGGCGCAGACGTACGGGGAGAAGGCGAAGGCAGTTCGCTGCTCGCCTGATCCCCTAGTGAGGTCAGCGGGCTCTGGGCAGTGACTCCGAAGCCTGCATTGCACGGCCTCATTCGTCTGGGGGGCCGGTCGGAGGACAACTGACCTGCCGTTACCCTCCGTTAGCGCGGCGTCGTGGTGAATGTGCACCGACCCCACGGCGCCGACTCAACCGGCGGGAGGTAAACCCGGGGGGGGGGGGTTTAGTGCGGTAGGCCCTCCAGTCTGGAGGGCGAGTCCCCACGTAGCCCCTGAGTTTCCCTGGGTTCAGGGGTATCTATAAAGATTTCCCCCCGTAAAAAAAAGGTTAAAATGTGCATAATTTTCTGAAACAAAGGCTACAGCCATAAATTATAACGTAACCCGTTAAGTGTAACTTACATCAGCATAATATATGTATAAAATGTCAGAGGTTACCAAGCAGAATTTTTATAGACAAGTGATCTTGCTCACGCAAGTGACGTTATTGCTGTTACTGAATCGTAATCGTTGGAGTCAGTTGAGAATTCCAAACTAGTGGGACATCTCCCGCAAGTGGAATCTGCTACGCTGTGATCGTGTTAATAACCGACAGGGACGAAGCCTAACTAAATTTCATTTATTGCCACGTAGATGCCATCTGCTGAGGAAGCTCTGTAGTTTTAATATGCTTCTCGTGTCTGCACTAAATGTGATGTATTTGCGAGTAGATGGTTTATGTAAATGTAATGAATGTTTGAGGTTTTATGAGACAAAGGATGGCCCGTCTGTCTTCTATGAATTACTATTAGCCTATGCCTGTTTATAAATTTCACAATGACTTGATAAATTACAATAATGCTATGGGGCTGTATAATATATATATATATAAATAAAATAAAAAAGTTGTTAAAAATGATGTATATATTTTTTTAAATAAAATGCCCTTTAATATTTAGTAGCAGTAGAGCTCCTTGTGAAAAAGTTCGTCAAGAGAAGTACTGCCTCTTTACCTATTCCTGCCGCCAAGCAGTAATGTCAGCATTACTGCGTTCCGGTTTTGAAGGGTAAATGTGCTAGTGAAATTACAGGCACATGCGACTTGTCCACTTATGTCTCAGGGCGACTATGACATAAGTGGACTGACCTGACGGTCGCAGTGGAAGTGCTCTTCAGATCTTTGCGGTTAAAACTCTGTGTGGCACTGCAGCTGCTATGGAGTGGCGTGTCGCTTACCACCAGGCGCACGACTTGTTCGTCCCCTTACTTAGTGTCATAAAAAAGTTTTTTACAATCATCATTATCGTAATAATCAATTTCATTTTTCAGGTGGTAATTCTATTTGTTGTAGGTGCTTATATGCAAATATTTTACATTGCAAGAATTTGTGCCACGTGCCTCCTATCGACAAAGAGGAAATTGATGTTTACGGTCAGTTATAGTATATTTTAGAGATAACCGAGCATTTACGTTTATGATATTTCTGCATTTTTTTGAGTTGTGGCAATAAACCTATATGTAAACCTACAATTAAAATTGTTTTTATTTTCGTACTTGGTGTTCTGATTTTTATGTTTTTTAGGAATCTATGAGGGAGTTGTTTTATTTCTTGACAGTAAATCGAGTCAGTGCAAAAATCAAAGCCCGCGTTAAAAAATTCTTCGGCGTACAATGGTGAGCATGGTGCTTAACACTCTTGTCTCAGGAATGCTTCAAGACTAAACTGAGCAAGTTATCGCTTTTCGCATTTTATAGCTTTGTATTTATGATGACAAATTTATCGAAATTTCAGGTATTACAACCAGGCGGTATCGGTAGACGAGATATTCAAAGATATGTCTGTGAATATTCAGCAAGAAGTTTTGTGTATAGAAATGGTGGAAACACTTCTGCATTGTCCACTTTTTCAGGTGACATCACTATATATAATATAATTTTTAAAAGGATATCACAGGAAGACAGGATTTTAATCATTAATCTATCTCTGTATCTCACAGGTCATCCATTGTACAGTTTTTTTCTGATATTTTTCTTTAATGTTCTTTAAAGCAAGTCACTAAGTATGAAGATAGGCCGCATAAGACAGTTCTCGCCGAAGATCCTACAGGGGCGCGGGGGCTACAGTGCAAGATGCACACGAGTTAAAATATTTGTGACTTGAAACGTTCATTATTCTTGAATTTTATATCTTCCCTTGCTGTGCAATATTACGCACAGACTATACCGACAGTCCAGAAACTTCTACCACCATTATTTTACAACTATATCAAATTGTACACGTCTGTATCGTCTACTATGTTCTCTGTTACTGGATCTACTGAAAAGCAGCGTCCGTAACACATGTACTGAGACGACACTAGGCTGAGTGGACGACGGATTCTGTAACAACACAGCATGCACATTTTATGGCTTATCACTTGATTATTTACTGTTATAGTTATTTGCTTCCTGTTTGTGTATTATTTGCGTGTATTATCTAATTATTATGTTTTCCCTTTTTTCCCGACTTGAAAAAAGAAGGAGGCTCTCAATTGTGAACCAATTTCTTTTTGTAGGAAATGGTAAATATTCTGCTTCTAAGGGTGACAAATTAGGGGACGAATCCGGTTTATTGTATTTCACCCTCTTTCCGTTAACCGATTTCAATGAAACTTGGCAAATAGATGTAATTCCAGAAACTTATGACGTCGGTTTAAATATATATCTTGTTGATTATCAGCCTAAACCAGGTCCAATTTTCTTTTCCTTCAATATTCCCACATTATACCTACTACCAATTTTATGTCCGTACATAGTTCATTTTGGCACTGTAAACCCATGTGAATGTCTTACAGAGTAATCGTGACCTGCCAAATCGTGTGACTGCTAACCGCGTTGCTAACGAACTGAATTAAATTAAAATAGCTCATACCGCCCGCTCCTCACTCAATTCCCTTTGCGAGCATTCCCCTCGCCCCTGTAGCGCCGCGGGCGAGGGCTGACTAATCGAGTCATCTTATTATACTAATACTAACTAGTACTAGCAATTCGAACAGCGTCTATACTTAATTATAAAAATTGTTATAATTTAATTCGATTTACTATTTATTGTTAATTCTTCTATGTTATTTGCTAATATAGGCACTACGTACAAATATCAATAATAATAACTGAAGAATAATTACAAATACAGGACTGCAGTCGGGATTTTTTACAAACCGTAGCGGGGTGTGTTACAACGGTAGTGTTGCCGGAAGACGAGATCGTACAACATGCTGCCGATATTAGCCGCGACATGTACATCTTGCAAAAAGTATGTTTTTCAGTACAGATATAATAGCGCGTTCAGGGCTACAAATCTCGTCCAACTTCACTAGCTTCAAAAATTCCTATCACACCATTATCACTATCAAATCATTTATATTTCCGGGCACGGATCTCCTCTCAGATGGGGGTTTAGGTCATAGTCCGCCATGCTGGCCCAGTGCGGATTGGGGACTGCACACATTTTCCGAGGGCTGTGTACCATCGTCGACGTGCAGGTTTCATTACAGTGTTTTCCTTCACCAAAAAGCTCATGGTATATTGGATATCAAATTTCACACATAAATTCCGAAAACCTCAGAAGTTAGAGCCCGGATTCGAAACCACGACCTCTGCTTGAGAGGCGGTAGGTCAAACCATTAGGCAACCACGACTTTTACTATTTTATCAGACCATTAGCACCCAGTTACACGAGGCGAAAGTAGTCGCGCGGCCGCCGCGCGGCGAGCGCCCAGTTACCACGCCTTCATGTACATTAACGGCGAATCTAAATTCTATTTCCTAGGTAACAACATTTAAATTCCTCTGCATAATTCAAACCAGTTCGCCTACGTGGCCGGCACGCTCATTTAAGTTAAAACGTAAAAGCTAAATAAATAGAGCGCATTTTGCCATGACAGTTAGATGCACGCGGTCGCTACGCAGCGGTAACGTAGCGGCCGCACGGGGTGAATGCGATGAAATTCGTGTCGAATAAACGCACCCTAAGGGTACATGTAAACTGCTATATGAAATATGTTACATTTTATTATAGGGTCATTGTAACATGCTCAATAATAGTGGCAAAATAGTTGGTTCATTGGCGCCTGGTTCTCACTTCGGTGTTGTCGAAATGATGTTTTGTTTACCAAAGGTAAGCACTATTCTTTCCAAAACATTACTTTGATAATTATTAAATTGAAGGTAAAGTACCTACCAGGGTTATTTGTACAATACTAATAACCTCACAGAACTATATTACCTGTCATCATAGGCTACAACTTTTTGTTCTGTGACTGTTAATAATTCACCAGATTTCACTTTCGTTCCAAAATGAAAATATTAATAGATCGCTCTAAACGGTGGTAATTCTGTGCGGTAGCAAAATAAAACCACAACCAAAATTGTTTTTATGAACGACAGCATGCGTGAGGCGCTGCTGAGATTTAAAAAATATCAGATAGTACAACAAAAACTTCTGTTTTTGGTAAATTTATTATGTTTTATAAAAAGCCTAGAACAAAAGTTGTTGTTTATGATGTTATATGTAATCTAGTCCTGCGAAGATGTTAGTATTTTACAAATTACTCTGTATATGTTGTTTAATAGAAACTATTGACTTTAGGTGCACACAGTCGTAACAGCAACAAACTGTGTACTTCGACACATGGAATATAGTTCATTATTGCAGTGTTGGAGCACTTTTCCTGAAATTAACCAGCCGATTCTCGTGGTAAATATAAACTATTTTTTCTACTTCTGTACTTAATCGGTCAACTATAATTTCATAAATTAAATCAGAAATGCGCTCTTTTTAGTTCTGAACCAAAATTCTATTGCCTATGGTACTTGCTACTGAACTGAAAAAATAAGTTTAAAAAAAAAGAACGTGGTATTTTTGTTAATTAATACATCAAATAAGATGCTACTCATACGCTCTACTGCCTCTCATCTCATGATTGGTTAAAATATAAGCAGTACTTGGCCAATCACGGACACATCTGTTCTATCTCTTTAGTTTTATGGTCTGTAGCGTTAACTTATTCTTAGAAAAAGTATTGTATGCTACATAATTATACAATTAAGTCTTAAAATCTCGTATCTAACGAATGGCCTAAATAATAATTTAAGCCACTCGGCAAAGCGTCGTGACTTAAACGCGGTACTCGGCTTTCAGAACCCTTATTATGCAATGATTGAACAAAACAAAATATTATTTACGTACTTCTTAATTATGTTTTTATTGAATTGATATACAATTATTTATTATGGAATTACTCCATTAGTTTGTTATAATTATTAACATAAAAATCGAAAACTTAGAACAAGTTCCTTCGATCCAGTTGAATTCGAACCGACATCTCCTAGCAAGCCGTGCCAGACGCTATGGCATAGCGTACATAGGAGACGTTGTCGGTTCGAATTCAACCGGATCGAAAGAGGTTTTTGTAAGTGTTCAATCTTTGTATTAAGAATTACCTATATCTTGTTATAAATATATGTTTTTATGATATCCATAGGATAAATAATTAGACAGCTCAGTCAATGATAAGCAGCGGATTTCGCCTATATTTATTTGGGATAATAAGGAAGTAACCTCATAATATGCTCATTTATATCATCCCACATTTAAGAATATAAAATATGAATACAAATAAATCGAGTTCTTGGGTTTACGTAATTGCTATTAACACATTACATTTGAAATTAATAGCTTTTTAAATAAACCAACAGCTCTTTTTTATACAAATGCGCACTTAACAAAATAAGTGCGCATTTGTCCTCCATCGTGGGATGGAGTATATTGTAACCATGATGTATTCCGTGATAGCCTTCCGGCATTCAAAAAGTCCGTCATTTGATCTATTTTGAGATCTTCTTCTATTTTAATATTCTTCTATATTTTTAACCGACGTCAAAAAAGGAGGAGGTTCTCAATTCGACTGTGTGTTTTTTTTTGTATATATGTTACGCGATAACTCCTTTTTTTTTTTTTTTTTTGAACCGATTTTCATGATTCTTTTTTTGTTGGAAAGGAGGTACTTCAGAAGATTCATTTTTATAAATAGAGCCTAAATTTTACTAAGGAGCAATTATTTTAATGGTTGATTGTGCTATTTCTCCAGTTCAAGGTGTTTTTCTCTCATTATACTTTGAGTAGTGAGAACCGATTTTTATTATCTCCAGTGTCAAGTCCTGTATAGTGGCGAATTTAAGGCGAATAAAAAATAAAAAATAAATAAAAATAAAAATGTATTTATTCCTCAAAACTTTTTCATACAATAGATGAGGATATTCCCATTAAGCAAATTTATGCTTGTGTTGGGAAAGCCTCGCAACTTCCCTTAGCTAACATACTTTGAGAACTTAAATCGAATCAATGGGTTAGTTATAATAATTTAAAAAGAATAATAATAATAAAAATCAGAGAATGTTTAGTGTGTGTGTGTGTGTGTGTGAGTGTAAGTCTGTGTGTGTGTTATGTGCATCTACATGTGTGTAATAAATAGTTTTAGATGTATTATAATGTGAAATGAGATGGTTACGATATGCGATTTAGCAGCTTTTCCACTTCCTCATACGTAAGAGTATTTAGCCATTGGATAAGAGCTTTCTTACAATCATATTGCTGCATGGGATATATTTCTAATATCTTGTTAATGTGATTGTAAACAAATGCTGATTGTGAATTATATTGTCGACTAGCAAATAGACGTAATTCCACGTACTTTTGAGGTCGGTTTTTTTAATACTCTGTGCTGAGATTATTATTACTGTTTTTGTTCATAAGAGCGCACAATCTATATTTTTCTGAATGCTGTATACAGTCCTAATTAGAATGCAGAGTTACTGATGTTTCTTTTTAAAATAATTTTGTTTGAAAATAATGCTGTAATTTGTTTTCTGTAATTTGTACCATTACAATAAATATAAAAAATAAAATAAATAACGAAAGAAATCCTTAGCAAATGCATTGCCGACCATAGGACATAAGATCTGAAGTCACCTATAATTGTGTTTGCGCTGGCACTGCCTGCTCTGCAATCCGGGCCATAGCAGTCCTACTTCGCAGTTGATATGGATAGGCAAAATAATTTCCATGTAGTTTTAGTAAAGCAACAACGATCGTTAGTGATTGAATTAATGAATGCCATCACTTTCCACTGACACTCTATTGACTAGATTTTAGCAGAATAACAAATATTACCCTAATTGCAATGTAATCTCAGGGGAATTTCAATGGAATACTATGACCAGTTAATTCAAGAAAAGTACCAGACGTGTGGGACAGATGACACATGCACAGACTCCAGGAAAATATCTTGTTTAGAATTACGCGTAGTGGAGTGAAAAATTGTCTTAAATGTTGTCATGTCGCGCGCCTGATAGTAAGCTACACGCCTAACAGTTGCAGTGCTAATCAAAGCTTTCAGTCGCAAAGGTCTGAGGGGCACTGCCACTGCGCCCGTCACCCTGAGACATAAGTTGAAAAGTGCCATGTGCCTGTAATTTCACCAGCACCCTTACCCTTCAAAACCTAAATACAGCAATGCCGACATTACTACATGGCGGCAGAATTAGTTAAGGTGGCAGTACTAACCTGGATGAACTCTTTCACAAAGAGCTCTACTGCTACTACATTATATTATTTATAAATAAATTTATTAATTAACAAATTATATATATATATATATTAGTTTCAAATTTACCGCAGCGAAGATATGGAATGTTTTGCTGCCGCCGCCATTACGTAGTCTGAAATCAGTGCACACGTTTAAAAGCAAATATAAAAAACATCTGTTAGATATCCAAAATAATGCAGTTTAAGTTAACCTGGGCACTTACCGCACTGTTTTCGACTAAAGGTATTGGTCCGCGGCAGTAATCGTTCTCTTTGCTTTATTTGCGGGATGGGACACGTGCAATATGCGCCTATATGGAGATAATAAATTTGGTTGTTTGTTCCTGAAAAATGTCATTAATTATTTACTTTCTTATTACCGCAATTATATTACTCAATTATATTATGTATACTATTTCATTCTCATGCTATTTAATTAATATTCTATTCAATATAATATAAAATTGTGTATGATATTCTACAATTATTGTAATAAAAATGGTACTTACCTGTTATGGTATAGGAGATTGCATGCTATTATGCGTAGTAAATACCTACGACGACGGAGGACGAAACTTGTTTACAACGCAACGTAGTAAGTTGCATTAAACAATACAAACGTGTGATCGGTGATGTACCGGTTGTCAAATAGCGCTCCCATCCCTCCCGTGCGTCAGTCCGCGCATCTTTCGTCTAACCCAACTCGGAGCGAACGAGTTATATGATTTTATTTATTATGTAATACGTCACCACACTATAAACGCACACAGTAGGTATATTTATTATATACTTTTGCGATCTATAATACAACACACAGCATTAACACAACGTACAAAGAACACATACGCAATTATTTAAGCAGTTTATTTTAGTTTATTTTATTTTGCGACACACACGTCTGTCACTCATCTCAGCTCAGGGCTCATTGAAAACCAGCGCCACAGTCAATGGCCGCTGTGGCATAAGCTGAATGAAGTCCTTTTGCATACGCCATAACCGCACACATGACAGTACAACATTTGTAGTTGTTATATTTAGTATTTTTCTGTTTTGCTCTTTGTTTGTTATTGTCTTATTTCATTTTAATTTTGTTAATTACGTCTTTTTGTTTTGTTTTGCTTGTCTAAGTGGTACCAATATTTTTTTTTTGTATCTATGTGTTGTGGCGTTGCAATAAATGTCTTCTATTCTATTCTAATATTCTATATATTAATATTTTTTCTATTGTATTAGGTATTACAGAACCCAGAGCTCTTAGAAATGGCGGCAGAGTACGAAGATGCCAAGCCTCTTACTGGTAGAATAGAAGTCAAAGTAAATCGGTTTGCGGTAAGTTAGGATTTGTTACATGCGAACACAAGTTTGTTACATTTGCCACATTCAATGAATACTAAATGTCTAGGGAGTTTCCTCTACTTCACTGTTTTGCTTAGCTGATATCGTGGGGTATTGTTGTATAGCTTTCATTGGACAGACATCGATATACTTCTAGTTGTTGACTTTTTTATGACACCAAGTGAAGGGATCATTGACATGCCAACAAAGACAGGATGAACAAGTCGTGCGCCTGGTGATAAGCGATACGCCCCGGTCCATAACAGTTACGGTGCCACTCTATACTACCTCAGCTCGAATTCTAATTTTTCTCGTACTGATACGGTTCATTTTGCTTGGGTCTATTTATTTTTTCACAAACTACGTTAAAGCCATTTGAAAAATGTACGTAATGTATGTATGTAATTTAATGTGTATCGTACGTATACTATACGTGTTCTATTTAGTTCAGTTGATATAAAAAAATCATATTGAACACCGCGGTTTTTTTGTAAAATCTCATACCGTACAGTAATCAGTGCATATCCTCAATTTTACTATATATTTTTCCCAAAGTGATTGATTCAACACTTTGACTTTCATGCGGAATCAACCAAAGCCATTTGAGGTTGTATGGACTCTTAACTCGTAAATATCTGCGGGGTACTTGCCACGGCGCCCGTCACCCTGAGACATAAGTTAACAATCCCCACGTACCTGTAATGTGACTGCGTCATTAATAGCGTAATCTGACTTAAAACTTGTTGCAGCGAGAAATAAAGGACAGTTTCGTAATGTTGTACAGCCCCGAAGATAAGCGAGATTACCATCGAGAATTCGACAAACTGGGAATTCTTCGGTAAGAGTGATTGGTACAATAAATTTATGTATTGACGAATGTCCTATCAACATTATAACGTGTATAACTTGGTATCTATATATATGACATCTCTACATTGTATCTTTTTTAGATACATGAGATATGTGTTCCTGCCGATATCCATCACGCCGTACGGGATTTTCCTTAAGTGCTGGTCGGGACTCCGCTTTCTCATCGCGCTCTACTACATGTTTATTATCCCGTACAATATTGCTGTAAGTATATATGTCAATGCAAGTACTTGTCATTAAGTAGTCTGGTTTAGCGTATTGGACAGATATTAGGCAGTGATGGCCTAGTTGGAAGAACGCTTGCATACTATATCAGAAATACTAGGTTCGATTCCGAGGGACCATTAACACTGAGCCATGTTTAAACAAATTGCAATTCGAACAATGAAGGAAAACATTGTGATCAAACTTGCCCTAACCGACTGAAAACTGACCCCAACACATATTAGGCTAAAGTTTAGACTAGACTTTAAGATACTACGGTTTACCGATATCAAGATGCGAGAGATTCGTAGGGGTGTACCAAAAGAGTCTCCTCACACGACGTACCATGGGCAACAATCGGTGTGTACCTTACGCCAATTGGCAAAATTCCCACCGTAGCAAGCATTATAGTGTATGCCATCGATACGATAAGTAGAAGACCAGCCGTACATGGGTAGATGATGATATCAGATCAGAATATCGGTTCAGAATGAGTTGCGTTCATTTTACAGATTCAACGGCATCGATTCAATTCGAAGTACATTTACTCGGATATATTTCTATATTTTGACTTAATAGTGATGTCGTATGTGGGATATTACGATGACAAGTGTCTCCTCGTGAAGCATCCTCTCTTCACAGTATCACGATATATAAAGACGACATTTTTTTGGGATGTAATTGCTGTATTCCCTTTCGAGCAATTAGTGAGTACACAATATCTGTAGTTTTTTAAACATTCTAACAGTGTGTTGGCTTCTTAATAGAGACAATAAAATAGAATCTTTATGGACTCCACTTAGTATAATATGTCAACAACGTTAATTACGTGATACAGTGTTGTTAAGCCCCTCGATCAGTGCCCTTAAAAATATGTGAGCGATTTGCGAAGGTCCAAGGCCTCAAGTATAACGAAAATAAAGTGAAATGTTCGTGTTCAAGACAGGTGCTAAACTAATATTTAAAGATAATTCTTCCCGTACTGCCAATCACTCTCGGAAGCGCTCCTCTTAAAACAGTGTCGGAGTTTAAATTCTTGAGGCACTGGATCACCGAGTCGCTAAAAGATGACATGGATACAGAGAGGGAGTGTAACTCACTGACTATAAGGAATAATATGCTAAACCGAAGATTTGCGAGGTGTACAGTAGACGTGAAGGTCACTTTGTTCAAAACTTACGGCCAATCGTTTTACACCTGCACTTACTCAAAAAGCAAAAAGCGTCCTACGTTTCCAATATAAAAATGCGTTCAATGTACTGTTGGAACTGCCGTTCTACTGCAGCACATCAGCAACGTTCGCAGCAGCACATACGGGTAGCTTCCATTCCTTAATAAGAGTGCGACAAGCCACCTTGATGCAACGGGCGCGCGCCATTACCAACAGTCTCCTGACCATGGTAGCGCACACCGTTAATGGTCCGTTTAACGAACACTGTAACTCACTGCATGTATTACCACAGATTACTTAATAGTTACTACGTAACAGATACATCATTCCCAACCAAAATCGAAACTACCTACTCTAAATACTTTAATCTCTTACTAAACCTCATTAATGAAACCAGACCCTCACTACGAGGGAAAAATCTAAGCACGCGCTCCAAGAGGTGAAAATAACGTTGCCCGCCGTGTGCAGTCGTACGGAACCGAATTGAATGTAATGTAAATGAAAAACTTGTCTGAACGCTAGCACTGTCAGCGATACACTCAGCGGTAGGCACTTATCGCGTAACCTCGAGCGAATCACGGAGCCCTGGTAGTACCCTCTAATTGGGCTGCCAAATAAATATAATGTAATTTACCTGCCTCTGTTGCCCAACGGTTACCATACTGGACTGTCACGCTGAGGTCCCGGGTTCGATTCCCGGCCCGGGAGAAATATTTGTATGATCTACATTTATTTCTCTCGTGAGTTTGCGTGTAATTTGTGGTTGTCTATTTGTGTGTTCATGGTACCCGCGATACAGGGTTTCACTAGTGCGGGGCTATGAGTGTGCATTATTTATTATTATTTTATTTTTTATCTTAATAGATACAATAAAAACAATGAAATAGACACTTAGATATATACTCTACTTAATAGTTTAAGCCAAAATTTCAGTTACTCAATAGTTTTTAGAGTTGTATATAGATGAAATTTAAATATTTATTTTATTTAGTTATTGAAAAAAATCGTATCAATAAAAAGTCCGGGGTCTACTATGAGCTCTTATAGCAATCCCGATTAAACCCGTAAGTTGAATTGAATGTCAAATTCGAACTATGACCTCATAAAAACAAGACAAATTTCATGCAGTTTACGCTGATCGTTCAAAAGCCAAAGTTGAATGTGCTATTTGCCGTGCAACTAAAGGTTTCAGGGGGCCTACTATGAGCTTATAAGCAACCAGGCAAGTTCCATGCAAATCACTTGACGTGGTAAAACTGAATTGCTTAAATTCGTATCATGACGTACACAAAGTTGAACGGGAATGGCAAGGGAAGATGATGAGTTTTACTTTTTAAACATTAATTATTGTCACTGGCTGGCTAGTTGACATCTAACAAGAGCGAGATGGAACTACATACTAAATCATATGAAAGAAATAGACAGATGTACTGGCCCGGGAGTGTTCAAGCACTATTAACCAATTGTGTTCAAAATGAGATTAATTATATTTTTTAAATAATTTTATTATTGACTATACTTATTACGTTATATTGTAATATCGGCAACATTTCGATCATACTTTACAATTTATCGTAAGACAAAATTACATGTCATGTCTAATCATTATCATTGAAATGAATAAGGTGAGTTTGCTATTTGATAACATAATTGGAACGATCTTGTATTTGTACATTTTTCATTGATTAATGCGTTAAAGTCTAATTTGGTACTATTTAAAAGTTATTTTACGATTTTCTATTTTCTAAGTCACTAAAATTATTAAAACACAATTTAAAAATTGCAATTAAGTCATTGACTTACAATTATATGGACGTCGGGTCCGCGCTAAAAAGTGTCCGCACTTGTAAGGCGCTAAAATCGTATACAGAACGCCAAACTCCGCTTTAGTCTTCATTTGTTCGACTGACAGCGCGATACTGCGATGACATTACAATTTAAATTTCGAATAGGTTGACTTGGGACATTTTTTTCGTGGTTTTTGTATTAGACCCGTCGTCCATTTATTTGTAAGTCAATGAATTAAGTACATTCATGCTAATAATTTATCAACAATACTCTGTAGACGGGAAACTCGAACTAAACTAATCAAAAAAGTTCATAGTATTTAATTATTGACAATTGACTACATAGCAAGATAACAAATTTTAAATTTTTATTGAATTGATATTCAGTTACTTTTTGTGAAATTACTCCACGAGTTTGTTATAATTATTAATACAAAGATCGAACACTCAGAAAAAATTCCCTGTAAGATAACAAATTATAAAATAAATAAAAAATGCATGTATTTCGGACTACAATAAGATCCAAAAAAATGTTAGCATTACAGCAAAAACTTAAATGACTATGTTGGTACGTAAATTTAAATGAAGAGAGGGCCAATGCCTTAGCAGTACACTGTCCCATCTGTGTGCAACAACTGTCAAGATTTTGTGGCAGCTGTCGCGCACCCTACGCATTGTCGCGGCGCAGCGCTTGCGCAAAGTCGCTTCGAAGCCGTCAACGCTCGCATCCGCGAACATCCCGGACGCACTATAGTGTCGCGGCAGCCGCAACAGAACCCTGAACGCGTCGTTGTACTGTACACACATTGCATTCAGTAACTTTTGTGTGTACCTGCACCATAAACTACAGGTTTAAAGCGATGTGCAGTAAGCTTTAAATAAAGTCACTTTTACCTGTGCCGTACATCGACTGAACCTACGCGCTATCATATTAGCTCTCATTGCTAATGCTCAACGTTCACTCTCAATATCTGCATTATCACGCAGATCGTCTGTTATAACATGACCAAGATATTTAAAGGACGTCACTCTATTCAGCTATTGACCGTTAAGACGAATGGGCGGACATGTGATGGACACTTACTTCCCGCCTCAAAAAACCATATATTTTGAGCACATTATATTTAAGATTATGCTTCATGGCATACGATTCGCATATGTCTATAAGTACTCTTAAGCCACCGACAGATGACCTCAGCAACACCATGTCATCGGCGTAACTTATTATTATTATTATTTTTTTATATTAATTAATTAACTTATATTATTAAAGCAAACTCTATCTATATGGCACCCTGACACCCGCACTGCAGACCGTACTCATCCGACAAGACGTCCCCCCATCGGACACAGTTTCTTTGACTCGCGTACCAACATCTAAACAACCGTGTAAGTTCCCTGAGAAATGTAACCTCGTCAAGCTTCCTCCAAAGTAATTCATAATTTACAAGGTCAAAAGCTTTGGAGAGATCTAAAAAACACGCACAAACATGCGTTTTTCTATGTGTGTAATACTCAACGGCGTGCTTTAGACATATGATCGCGCTCTCAGTAGATAGTCCGGTCCGAAAGCCGAACTGTGCGTCATGTAACTTCAAATATTTTTCCAATTGCACATTCAGTAAGCTATCAAGTATTTTAGCAGTAATTGTTGCCAGAGAAATAGGTTAGTTCGTCTTGTCAGATGTGTCACCGGTTTTATTTTTTATGATAGGAACCACTATAGTTTTCGTCATGTACACAGCCAAATAAGAATGACTAATACAGAGATTAGATAGTAATGATAACAGATGAGGCAAATGTGGTCCGGCAAACTGCAAATGCTCGACACCTTAATGGTCGTGACCGGGAGATTTTCCCCTTTTCATTTCCCTCAATATTTTACAAATGTCATTCGCACTAAAACGTACATGAACGTCACTCCCCGACTCGTAGTCAAGCACCTGCAGCCCTCCGGTCGTGTCACTGGAAGACTTTACATTGAAATGCTCTCTAAAGATGTTAGCAATACTCTTGGAGTCAGAGATACCATTGACACTAACAGAGAGTCCAGGTCTTGCCTCCATTTTCTTGGTGACTTTCCCAAAACTACGAAAATAATTTTTGCCATGACACATCATGGACCAACAACAAGAACACCAAGAACAAATCAAAATGGATTTGCTCGCTTGTGTAGCGAGCCCATTTTGATTTGTTCTTGGTGCTGTTGAACCCACCTAAGCCTAGATTTAAATATTTTTCGGCTACAGCACATGGCGTCAAATGCGTACCCCACCGTGGGTTTGCCACACATAATCCATTTTTGGAAACAAAGCCTGGCCTCCCTGTGGGCTTCACTAACATGCTTGTTCCACCCTATAACTTTGTATTTAGCTGCCTCACACAACGTAGTTATTATGCAATTATTACGAAACTGAAAATATAATAAAACTTAAACGAAATTTCTTAAAAATGTAACAAAACGTCGACATTTTCAAAACAAAATTTAGTCACGGAGTAACTTTCTTTGAATTGCTCATTTTGACAGATGAGACCGCCATGTGCATGGCAAATGACACATCATTATACGATTTTACTATGAAAGAAAAGGTGAACGGATTTCGAATGGGGAACGTAAACTGCATGGACAGTGAATTGTTTTTGTTAGGTCATAGTGCGAATTTGACAGGCTATCCAACTTACGGGCTTAAACAGGATAGCTATAAGAGCTCATAGTGGGACCCCAGCTGTCAAAGTAAACATTTGAAAAAAGTTACTCAGTGATTAACTTCATTTTGGAAAATGGCATATTTTACAAGATTCTGTCTTTAATTTAAATTTTATTACATTTTGATTTCGTTAGTTCCTTGTTTAAATTTTATTGACTTGATTTAGATCGTAAACTAACATTTAATGTTCATATTGCGCTAAATTTGGTATTGGATTATTGAATAAAAATGTAAGGATATAAAATGCGTACAAATTCTGCTATCAAATAATAAACTCACCACAATAATTTCAAAGGACAAGACATAGGTAACATATAAATTTTCACATCACTAGCTCGGAAAGGCTTTCTTTCTCATTAGAAATCTGCGCGCAAAAGCGTTTTTTAGGAAAAGATTTTTGAAATTCTAACTTGACGATGGACTGTGGTGCACCTAACTTTTTCTTTCAATGAAAAAAATAACAATGACACGTTTATGTACGTGATTTGTCGTTCATTATTTATGTATTATAAATCCGTTGGTATATTTTATTCTTATTATTGTTGAAATTAAATTGACAACGATAAGTAATTCTGTTTATTAAATAATTTTTTAAGTATGAACATCTGATTTGTTATAGTTCAACTATTTTTCTATCATCTGCCATTTTCCTCGCTATAAGGTAAAAAGTTAAGTGTTTCACTCGGCAGCAAAGTTATTTTGTGCCTCGTGTCTTGAAACCCTCGTTACGCTCAGGACTCGCTTTGCTCGTGCCTCAATCTTAAGATCCTTCGCTTGCACAGGTTTCAATACAAGCACTCGCGTTAAGCAACAACTTTGCAGCCATGCATAACAAATAACTATTGTCTTTTTCAACACATTTTACACTGAAAAGTGATCGATATTATAAAATAACGTATTTTGAATAATCAATAATAAAATTATTTTAGATAAATTACCTAATGTTTCCCTTTTCGAATACAATCGGTTAACACTTCTCGCACGTTCCTATATCAGTACATTTTTACTTTTCATATGATTCATTATGTAGCTCCATCTCACTCTTTACATGACAGCGTTCAACTTTATGTAAGTAATGATACGAATTTAAACAATTAAGTTGAAGTTTTATCACATAATCTGAAATTTATGGAACCAGATTTGTTCCTTATAAGCTCACAGTAGATCAAGTAATTCCTCATTCTGTAATTATTTATTTAGTGTACACTCAAATGTCGACTGTAATACTACACAAAGACTCAATATAATACACGATACCTATACAAACAACATAATAACTTAAGGCTTCTTATCAGAGTGTTACTACACGTATTGGAGTATATTTAGATTGTAAAGAAATATGACCTCTTCGCAGTATATATACCGGAATTTAATATTATTTTTAATTCTATATTGATTTACGACCTCGTTGGCGCCAGGGTTTACACTGTGGGCGCTGAATGAGGAAGTCGTGGGTGTAATTCCCGATAGGACTAATTTGGGAAATGAAGTTTTATGAATTGGTTCAGCTCTTTGTGTTCTGGGTAGTACCGTACAGCGAATTCCGTTGCTCTGCACTTACAGTACAGGGAATTCTCTAATTAAGATCTGGGGGTTTATTCTCCATCCGACATTTGTCCGAAACAATTACTGTCAAATAAGTAATACTGGACCTAATTAATAAACAATGTCTAGTATGAAGCTTCATTCCAGAAATAGAGACGAAATAAGAGCCGTCCATCCTGGCAACTCATCAGGTAAGTGGGCCTTATAGCTCTTTTAAATATCAACTCTAGTTTGCGCTGAAATCACAACTTACAAAACTGAAATTGTACAGTGCCAATAACTGCCCTGTGTGAACGTGTCCGTATATTCCAAAAATATTCTGTATTTATTGTAAAATAAAGAACGGGGGCTCTCTAATAATGGGGGCTGTTCTATTCGGCGGTGTGCGAAAAACAGCAAAACATCTAATTACAAAACAAATGGAATCACATATTTTCATTAGTAATTAAGTACGTAATTTTGCAATTTTCGTCCATTATAGCAAAGCTCAAGTCTGGTCTGGTCGATTTGAAATGAAACAATTGATGACACCCGTCAATTGTCTCGAATTCGGGCTGGCCAATCGGAGCGCAGTTGTCACAGTAATAATTTGACAGAATAGTTTTCAAACAAATTAAATGACATTCCGCATTGACTTACAAATTTCGTCTCTATTTCTGGTTTACTTTGGTCGAATATTACTTATGTGACAGTAATTATTTGGGACGGATGGAGAACGAGAGTTATATTAATATAATGCTTAATTAAGTTTTATTAATATAATTTAATTATTGCTTATTAATATAATGCTACATTTAATTTAGTTTGTTATCCTTCTGTCTAACGTAAATATGTTATTTATTATATGCATGTGTTATGTTGCGTAAATGTTTACCAAATAAATTGATTCTGAGATTGAGAATAATTTTTTACTTAATAATATTTGATTTCAGTTCAGAATTGTGAACGAGTCAGTGGATTTAGATCTATTCCGCCTTAACAGGATCTGTCTGGTAAGACGTGACTATTAACACTATCATTATCATCATATTCAGCCCATATAAGACCACTGCTGGATGTAGACCTCATCTTTATTGCACTAATTTTCACGGTTTTGAGCCATCCGCATTAAACGCGATCCCGCAAAGCTGACAATGTGAAAAAACGGTTATTCTAACGGTAATAGAAGCGCATTTCTGCGTATTCTCGTGCGGTAAAAGTAGGCATCCAAGTTAAACGCTGTTAAAATCGCTAAAGGCAATGATGAACTGATCCACAACATAGGTCCTATAGTGATTTTGTTTGAACTTGACACGGAAACGAAAAAAAATATTCTTATGTTAAAAACTGATAAAAAGAAGAGAGAATTGTTCACTAAAAAGCTGTTTGCAATTGACATTTTTTTAAAGATTTTATAAAAAGGGTTCCTTTAAAAACATACTCGTATATACATCAGAAGCATAATGCAAAAAGACACTTCAAAAGTCCTTGTGGATAATTTTCCAAAAAACACAAAAAGTTAAATAACTTTTGAACCATAAATTTCTGGGCCACAATGTAAGAATCAAATCGATTGGAAATACTCTACCCTACCGTCTCATTTTGTTTTGGCTATCATTTCCGGCCATTATTTACTTTGTAAACCTTGCCAAATATTTTTTAAATTAAATTACTTGTCTCACTAAGATTTATGTAAGTAATTAATTAAGTAATTATGTAAGGTATTTCTTGGCCTAAAATACTATAAACGCGAAGAAAGTATACAAGGTTATTTGTAAAATATTAACAACCTCTCAGGACTACAGTACTAACATCATAAACAACAACTTTTGCTTTTACAAAACATAATAAAATAAATTTACCAAAACTAAAAATAAAAAAATTTAAGTTTTTGTCGTGTCATGTGGCACTTTTTAGATCTATTATATTTGGTAGTAAGACCCACGCTCCTGCGTTTTGCATCGGAATGGTATTTACGCTAGCGCTTTCTATTATTAACGCATAGAGTTGTCAAGTATCACCATTTAAGGGCAGTAGAGCTCCTTGTGAAAGAGTTCGTCCAGGAAAGTACTGCCACCTTACATATGTATACCAAGCAGTAATATCAGCATTACAGCGTTCCGGATTTGAAGGGTAAGTGCGCCCGTCACCCTGAGACATAAGTTGACAAGTCCCATGTGCCTGTAATTTCACCAGCACCCTTCGAGACCGGAACGCAATAATACTCATTACCGCTTGGCGGCAGAAACAGGTAACATGGCTCACTAGACGAACTCTTTCACAAAGAGCTCTACTGCTAACGTTTAAAGCGATCTATTTAAATATGCTTAGGGAAATAAAATCTAATTAATTATTAAAAGTCATGTTAAGTTCGTCGGCAACACGCATGCGAGCCGGCCATGATGCATTTTTGTTTGTTGACAAATAAATAAACATTGTGAAGTAATTCCGTATTCTGAAGTGATAAAAGCAATTGAAATGAGCGCGTAAACTACTTACTTCAATGTTGTGTATGTGTATTGTGACGTGTATCAATAGAATACAGTGAAATCATTGTATGAAATGTGGTTGGCGTGAGGAAATAACCTTAATTTTAAACATTCTTAATTTTTTTTTACCTTTTGTCACCTGACGAGTTAAAGTTGTTGTTCAAATGTGAGTAATGTAGACCTTTGAGGTTGTTAGTATTTTACAAATAACCGTATATGCCATAAATTCCAGTAAATATGGTACTTATACATACAGAGCTTGGAATTTCATTATTAGATTTGAAAATGTACACAAACATTTCAGGTGACCAGGCTTACAGGAGCCTTTACATACTGGGAAAGCAACATAATGAATATAAATCCAGCTGTAGTGATGTTTAAATTTCTTCCTTTAGCAATGACATTTGTAAATTTCATGACGGCGTTCATATTTATGAACTCGTGTAAATCGTTCATGAAACTTGTTAACGACACAAATATACCTACTCACTATATTTATGTCAATTGTAGTAAAACTTTGATTATGTCTACCGCTGAGAAAAATGTTCAAGCAGGTACGTAATGTTGATTAAATATGAATCATTTATAATTAAATTCTTTAAATTCATTCGTTTATATGAACTTTCAGTTGCATTGAACGAGTATGTGTATACGGGATTTTGGGTGGTTATATTGTTTATGGGTGAGTTTGCATCCAATAAATAAAATATATAAAAGTTTCAGTAAGGCTTGGTAACGGTTTGACCTCGCAAGCCGTGGGTTCAAATCCTACCTCACAACTCTGAGTTTTTAGGAATGTATGTACGAAATTTAATTTGAAATTTATCATTAGTTTTTCTATGAAGGAATACATAGTGCAACCTGCACGTCGAAGAAGGTTAACAACTCTCAGAAAACGTATTTTTTTATATATTATGTAGGCAGCAAACAAGCATACGGCCCGCCTGATGGAAAACGGTCACCGTCGCCTATGAACGCCTGCAAGAAGGGGCGTCACGAACGCGTTGCCAACCCTTTAGGATTCATCTCAAACCCATTTTGGAGGACTCCATGCTGTATTCCTGTGGGAAAACCCCGACAGGGATTTCATTCCACAGCCTAATTGCACATGTGAGGAAGCTTCTCCGAACCCGTTTTGTAAAGTCCCCGATCCGCATTTGGCGTCCTTTCGCTTCACCTGAGAGGAGATCCGTGCCCAGCAGTGGGACGTATAAAATATATTATTAATTTAAAATTTTATCTTATGTAAGGATTTGTAATCCATACAGGATGTGGGTGTGCTCCAATACTGTTGACAGGGGCGAGTGACGCACTGATGGTGATGCTGGTGCAGATAGTCGGTCTGTTGTATTTTGCGTTTATGGTCGGATATATGATCTCCTTACGCTCCGCCTCTGCGCATGCATTGCTTGAACATACTGTAAGTAATTGTATACCCAGCAACAAAGATTACACCCCTCTACGAAAAGAAACCACAAAATACTGCCCTCTTTACTAACGTAGTAGACATTTTTAGCGAAATTAAGTTATTAACATAACTACAGCCCCTATAATCGGTTTTTTA